GTAGGAGAGGAGTAAATCAACATTTCAGGTTAAAGACAAGCTACAGAGGAGCCTGTGGTTCTTGGAGTATAGTCTTCCAATGATACCCCATCTTAAGCCTTTCCCTTTTTGTCTGCCCATCAGGACAGAATAAATAAACTCTCACCAAAACCTGAGAGAAAAGCACTGGACAATCAGGAAGATCTGAGGGTCAGAGCTGGCCACTGCATGTACAACCAAAACTGAGAGTCCTCTAAGACTGGGGAGGCCAGATTACCCATCTGGGGCCAGGAGGCCAAAAAGAAATGACGACATTGAGATGAAATTCAAATAGCAGAACCAGAAGGGAACGCCAGTAAGTGGAACCCATGAAAACTAAGTCACACACAGACTTCTGCAAGGCTCTGAAGGTTCAAGGTAGAGCTATGGTATTCTCTACCAACAGGCTTCTCCCCCTCAGCAGCAGGGTAATGACACATGTAATAGTCCTAGAGGACATGTTCAAGAGAGAAAAAACATACCAGCAACAGTGGGAAAACAAAGACAGATAAATGATAGATAGATTCATACCCACCCCAGTTCTGAATCCAGAAAAGGCACAGAAGCTCTGAAAAACCTGTGGCTGGTGCACTGAGTTCCCAGGGCCAATGCCAAAGGTACGTATCACCCACAGTCAAAAAAACCCTTAAGCCCCTTCCAGGACTGGGCTCCAACTCACCATCGTGCCTTGAGGCTGGAATACATCTTTAACTCCTTGGACGAACACAGTATCATTCAGCATATGTGGAACACACATACGAGTATATATTTATCTTCGAACACTACAAACACAGTCTAAAGCAACCAGATACCCACATTTTGAATATCAAGAGCTGAGATTAAACAGAGAAGAGCTGACCTGTCTATCCCGTGTCAGGTTGGCTCCGGGCCATAAATTCACTGAGTGGTAAGAAGGGAAACTGAGGCACTATCTAATCAACCAGTGTCTCTCCATCTGTCTGCTGATCCCGGTCTTTAGCCCCCCCTCACCTTGTCTCCCTCTCTCACTCTCTGTCTCTGGCCCTCTCTCTGTGTTTATCTGTTTCTGCCTCTCTCTCTTCCCTGCCTTTCCTGTCCTCCCTGCACCTCGCCATGTAAGTGAGCGTGCTGCAGGAGCAACTACACTGTTACACAAGGCCATCCGACTGAGAAGCCAAGAAGACATCATGTAAAAGAAACCCGACTCGGTACTCAAACTATGCCTCTGCCCGCGTGTAGCTATTTGTTTTTAAAAATGTCCTCGTTAAGTGGAATTAGTGTTCAACTGTTGACCTTTTCCTCTTGATTTTAGTAATCATCATTATATGAACACGCCAAACTACACTGTGTTGGCAATCTGTGAACAGTTCACCCTTGGGTAGTTTTGGTTCTGCTCAATTTCTTCTTTTCAAATCATTAAGGAAAAGACTCCCCTTCAAGGTTGTGTGTGTAGGCAGGTCACAACCCATGTGCCACAGCTGACCACACAGTACCAGTCCTGGTATGTGACCAAGTCCCACCCTAGCCCTGTCTGACGGGTCACCAGTCGCAGTAATGCCTGATACACTCCTGACACCCGCCCTGGGTCTCTCCCTGACCTGGCGATGGTGGCAGAACCTGCGCCCCTTCCCAAAATCTGGCTGATTCCAACGCCAGCCTGACCTTCATGCTTCTGTTTCTGAGAATGTAGGGTTCTAAGCTAATTTATCAATTCACAAATGACATTCAATTGCTACAAATGGAGTAGAGAAAACTCCAAAAAGCTTCAGCTCTGACCAGAGGAGAAATCAGTTCTGCCATTCTTGCCCCCGGTCAAATAATCAATGCGTGTATATGTGTGCACCCACAAGCACACGATTCCTTCTCTCCTTGCCAATCTCTGAACACCACGATGAGCTCACACTGAGAACCTGAAAAAATATAGAGAATTGACAAAAGAAATGAAAAAGGCACCTGGCATGAACTAACTGCTTTCTCAGTATATGAACCAAGGAACTGAAGACAGGTTTATTCGATTAATCCAGGAAATATTTGAGTCCATTTATTGAATACCTATTGGGTACAAATCTCCCTTTCACCAAGATAATGCCCCTGGCACCAGAAATTGTCTAGGCTACGTTATTACAAGTCTGCTCTCGGTCTCTCCCCAGACATTCCCTCCCCACATCAAGGGTTTTTCTGGTATGATCTTCCTTCGGGAATTCTTACATAACCACATCACCTTGTCCACTCCAGTTTCATCTGCTGGCTGATCTAGTTCCAACTTACTAGAAGTGGTAACTGTCTATCCTAACCCAGGACACATGTACACATGTCCAGCTCAGGTTAACAGGTCTTGTGACTGCTTGGGACCCTCCCCACCCAGCCTTTAAGGGAAGGAGTCCCTCAGTATTTTAAGAGGGATAGAACTTAAGAATGTGTTGACACGCATCCCAGAGACTATTTTCATCCTTTCACAATGCAATATTATTTTCTAATATCACAGTAACTGATGACTGGGAGTTTAATACAAATTTGCTTATTTGGATCTAAGAGCTTGAATGAACTTGAGAATGGAAATCTTTGCCACCACAAGAACCAAACATTCTTACACCTGATATCTGTTCTCAAACTGTACATGAATATTCGCCACCCCCTACCATAGGCATGGGACAGGGTACCACTAGGGGGGAGATGGAGTGTCAGGAGGGAAACAAAGCCACCAGATGCAACAGCACACTCTTGCGGAGAGCAAGGTCCCTTGGGAAGAAAACATAACATTTTATATTAAAACAAGTTCCACTACATTATGGAGTAAAATGACAACCAAATATGTGATTTTTTCAAAGATAAAAACTCAAGACTTCAAAGAAAGCACCTGCTTGCAGCAGTCTGCCAAGCTATGTCCACAATATATGGAGTTTCCTGCAAATAACTCTCTTGCCTTTAAGTGGTATTTGAGGAAATTTTCGAAAAATGTTTCACCCACACTATGAACTTCTTGAGGGCATGAACTACATCTCACCCTTTTCTTTGTCTCCAGGGACCCAGGATAGTATCTAAGATAGTATCTGGCACAAAACAGATACTCAATAATGTTCGCAGAATTAATTTGGCTGAAAAAATGGCAATGACATTATCAATAACAAAAGATTTTTATCACATTTGCATGGGAGGAAGGGAAGGACACAGCTATATAAGGAAGTGGAACAGAAGCAATCCAATTTACAAAAACAGTTGTGGCTGCCATGGTAACAATCAGATGAGGCAGCTGTGTGTGGTTCTTTTCCACTTACACAAGTAGGAAGGCAAACACTGTACTTGTTAATCTCCCATCAGAAGGATATAAGGCTTAGGACACGAGTCTAACAGATGACACCAATGGCCATTAAATTTAATAACTTTTGAAGAGTTTGAAAAGGTATCATGATAATAATATCACTAATAATAATAAGTTGTGTTTTGTACGCTGATCCCAGGAAGGTCATTTTAATGATTTAAGGGTGAAGTGTTAAGCATCTGCTGCTGAGACCTAACAACTGAAAAGAGCAGATCCACATGTATGTGCATATATATACATCAAAATAATATGATGTGAACACACCTTTCCTTATTCCTAAAATTAGTATCTTTTTAATTGGCTGGACCCAAACCAAGTTACAAATGAAAGGAGATTCAAACAGCACAGTTTATAGCAATGTTTAAATTGTTCCTCTCCCCTGGTGGAGACACTGCATTTTAACTCATTTGTAAATACTAGAAAAGATGGGTATCACACCCACTTTCTCTACACAATCCCTCTTATACTGCAGTGAGTCACTCTCCAGCGTTCCCGGTACTTTCTAAATTGGAGAGAAAACCTGGGAGGAGGCGGAAGTGCAGACTCCTTGCCCTGCAGGTCCAATCTGTGAATGGGTAAGCCAGGCCACTGCTGCCTCCAAGGGCTCCTTCCTTTTCTGAGTCTTATGTTTCACGTATGTGAACTGCCAACCAAAACAATCTTTCAAATTTTCTTACTAACAGCCAGAGCCCCTTAAAAACTTCAACTAAAATCTAAGCAGAGAGAAAAAAAAATGTACAGCATTCACATATCTGCAGTGCCTGAGGAAGAAGTGATAGCAGCTGCCTGAGGCATACCAAGACACTAAGAATAGACAGATGCAAATTAATCTCAAAAACAAACAACAACAAAAACACCCTGAGTAGCTTCTCCTCCCTGCCCTGAATCAACGGGCATTCCTTTTTCCGCTAAGAATTAATTTAGTAACTTTGTATTACGTTATTTCTGTTGGAGTCGTAGGAGTAGAGAATTTATTGTATGATTTTATCATTTTATTGTGGCATATAAAGAGAGTTTTTCAATTCACAACATCTAGGATCAAATCCCTGCTCTTTTATTAACTGACGAGTCCCTTAAAATTTTACAGGTATAAATTTCTGGGTCTACGTTTCTTCATCAATTAGAGCAAAGAAAGTCTTCCTCCCAAGGTTATTCTGAAAATTAAAATGAACTCTGTAAAATGCCTAGCACATAGTAGGCATCAATGAATAGGTGTCCAGCAATATAAATACCCAATAATGTCTCCTTCTAGTCAGTAGTAGGAAAACAACACAGGCAAAAACTGCTACAGAGAACACCAAATTGGCAACGGGCCCGGGTCATCACCGCGGGGGCCCCCCCCTCCCCCGGAAGTCTTCTAAGTAAGTGACATAACCAGGTCATTGAGGAGCCGGCGCTCCTAAACCCACGTCCTGGAGGAATCTCTAGTCGTTGAGGATTTCACTTTGTCCCTTGTAATTAACAAAGAACCTTTTGCAGGGCTCAGAAATGAGCACAGGAAACTTGGTCCCCTAAACCCTGATTCTGAATGCATTCTCTTTCCTTAACTCTTAGGGGATCTCAGTCTTGGAAAAGTTAGTGAGTCGTTGAATGGAGGAAAGCAACTGACAGAGAAGAGTAGGGTCCAGTGAGTCAGCACAGGAAAAACCATTTTCACCTCCAGCCCTCCAACCCAAACACGCACCTGGGGATGAACTTGGCCTCTTCCCCTAGTCTCGCCTGGAAGTCCTGCCAAGCCTGGCTGGTGACCACCGCTCCCCAGGGGGCTGCCAGCGATGCAGCGGCCGCCCCCTCGTTGCCCTCGTCCTCCTCGTCCTCCTCACTGTTCCCGGGGTCGGACTCAACCTGGGACTCCGCGAGCGCGGGCTCCAGCAGCCCGAAGCCCCGACGCCGCCCCCCGCGGCGGGCCCCGCGGAAGCCGCGCGCGAACTCCTGGAAGGTGATGGAACCGTCTCGGTCGGAGTCGAGCCGCTGGAACACAGCCTCCGCATCTGCCGGCCGCACGCGCAGCTCCGCGCACAACGCGCTGAACTCCTCACGCTCCAGGCGCCCTGAGCGGTTCGCGTCACAGGCGGCAAAGACTGAGCGCAACCGGGCCAGCTCCTCCCGGTCCCCGTCCGCCTCCATCCCTCCCGACGGGGCGGCCGAGAGAGCTCCGGGACGCGGCGGGGTGCACTGTGCACCAGGACTTCAGCGAGAGCGGGAAGTCCAGGGCCACCTGCTGCCGGCTGGAGTCGTGGCAAGTAGGACTCGTCCGGCTGGTTCGACCTCTTGCGGGAACGTCCGGGTGGCGCGAGGCGACTGCGCGGCTTGAGGGCGGCGCGTTCCAACGCTGGGCCTGGGGCGCGTACCCCTGTCGGCTGCGTATCCGCCCCCGGAGCCCGGTGAGTGCGCTCACTTTTGCGTACACTGCTCTGGAGCGTCCGCAGGTGACTGAGCCCCGCGGTGCGTCAGCGCCGGCAACTTTCCCGGCGGGGCCGGCTCCGCCCAGCCAGAGAGGGGGAGCGCGCGGCTCTGGTTCCCAGGCCTCCGGGAGCGCGGCTGTGCTTTCTGTATTGGGCTCTGGTTTGGGGCTCTTGGAATTGGAGACCAGCCGGAACTGGGGGTGCGGTTGTAGCGTTGCCAGGTCCTTCGGCATAAACTCTCTTGCTCATAAAACCAAGAACTTAGTTTCCCACAGATAATGTTGCTGTCATGAGCGTGGTACGCTAGCTAACTCACTGGACAGAAAAGAGAAAGGTAGGGGTAGTGTTCCAAATTAATTAACCTTATGTGTGTTTTATTCTCTTCTAATTCGAGAAAATTGATAATCTTCTGTATATACAAGTTTTCTTACAAATCAAGGGGCAAGACCTCTGATTTTACTGGCTCTCCTTAACACATGTCGCTTCAACATTAAGGCCCAACTAGTAGGTAAAACACAATAGAAATCACATAGATTTTCCAGATACCCACATCCAAATAATTTTTCTCAGTTTTTGTCTCTTCAACCTGAGAAAAAGTTAATAACCTAAATCATTCGTAGGAAGCAATATTTATGAGAATGGGGTAGTTTTAAAAAAACCTTAAGGAAATGACATATCCAAATGTATGTTTCCTTTTGATCTTAAACACTTATTTCAATAACGCTATTATTTCTTTACTACTGTTTTATGGGTATAAAGTCTTTCAAAATCATTCATTTTGGTAGTTTTAAAAATCTTGCCTGTCAATTTACAAAAGACCTCATTCTGTCATATGATTTATGAAGCATATGTTTCTCACCGTGATTCTTACAGCCTGTGAAAATGCATTCGAGTTATTTTTACTTTACTTACATTATCCGTTCTCTCCACTTTTTAGACTTTCTTTACTGCCATTTCTTTTATTTATGACTCCTTATTTCCATTTTACCTCATTCTGGATACTCTTCATTGCTTATTACTTTGATTTTTTTAATATGATAAATAGGGTATTTGATTGACACATTTCCTCAGGCTAGTGTCCTTAAACGTAAAGCTAAGTGCTAAACATCTGAGAAACTGTTTCTTCTTGAACAGTACAATAAACACCATCAACACTCACAGCATCTATCAAGCTGTAAATACCACTGGTAATGTCCATCTGTAAATTTAACTGGTAAATTAGGAGAAGCCCTGGTTTTAGCAATCTAATTGTTAGGTAAATGTGTTCTTTTATTTTTAATCCAACTTTCATATTCTTTTTTTTTCTGTTGTTCAATTTCCGTTGTTCCCATTTTTCCATTACTGTCCCCTGCCCTACCCACCCCCGCCTGCCGCATTCAGTCCTACCCTCCTTTGGCTTTGTCCATGGATCCTTTACACCTGTTCCTTGACTTGACCCTTCCCCTTCTTTCCCCCACTGTCCCCCTATCCACTCCCCTCTAGTCACTGTCAGTTTGTTCTTTATTTCCATGTCTCTGGTACTCTTTTGCTCACTTGTTTCTTTTGTTGATTAGATTCCACTTATAGGTGAGATCATATGGTATTTGTCTTTCACCACCTGCCTTATTTCACTTAGCATAATGCTCTCCAGTTCCATCCATGCTGTTGTGAAGAGTGGGAGTTCCTTCATTCTTTCCACAGTGTAGTATTCTATTGTGTAAATGTACTACTGTTTTTTGATCCACTTACTTACTGATGGGCACTTAGGCTATTTCCGGCACTTGACTATTGTAAATAATGCTGCTGTGGACATTGGGGTGCATAGGTTCTTTTGAATTGGTGTTTCAGGATTCTTAGAGTATAATCCCAGTAATGGAATTTCCAGGTCAAAAGGCAGTTCCATTTTTAGTTTTCTGAGGAAATTCCATAGTGTTTTCCACAGTGGCTGCACCAGTCTGCATTCCCACCAACAGTGTACTAGGGTTCCCTTTTCTCCACAACCCTGCCAGCACTTATTGTTTGTTGATTTGTTTATTATGGCCATTCTCACCGGTGTGAAGAGGTATCCCATTGTAGTTTTAATTTGTAGCTCTCTGGTGGCTGGCTACTGATGCTGGGCATCCTTTCATAATGTCTCTGGGCTCTCAGTGTGTCCTCCTTGGAGAAGTGTCTGTTCAGGTCCTTTAGCCATTTTTTTAATTGGATTGTTTGTCTTCCTGGTATGGAGTTGTGTGAGTTCTTTATATATTTTGGAGATCAAACTCTTGTCTGAAGTATCATTGCCAAATATATTTTCCCATACGATTGGTTCCCTTTTCATCTTGCTGATATTTTCTTTAGCCATGCAGAAGCTTTTTAATGTGATGTAGTCCCATTTGTTTATTCTTTCTTTTATGTCCCTTGGTCTAGGGGACATATTGGTGAAAATATTGCTGCGTGGAATATCTGAAATTTTCCTGATTATGTTCTCCTCTAGGACTTTTATGGTGACACAACTTATATTTAAGTCTTTTATCCATATTGAGTTTATTTTTCTGTATGGTATAAGTTGGTGGTCGAGTTTCTTTTTTTTACATGTAGCTGTCCAGATCTCCCAACACCATTTGTTGAAGAGTCTATTTTTACTCCACTTTATGCTTCTGCCCCCTTCATCGAATATTGATTGACCTGAGAGACATGGGTTTATTTTTTAGCTATCATGTTCCATTGATCTATGTATCTGTTCTTATGCCAGTACCAGACTGTTTTGATTACTGTGGCCTTGTAATATAGTTTGATGTCAGGTATGGTGATCCCTCCTACTTTGTTCTTCTTTCTCATAAGTGCTGAGGCTATTTGGGGTTGTTTATGGCTCCATATAAATTTTTGAAATATTTGTTCTATATCTGTGAAGTATGTCGTTGGTATTTTAATAGGGATTGCATTACATCTATAAATTGCTTTGGGTAGTATGGACAGTTTGATGATGTTAATTCTAACCCATGAACACAGTATATGTTTCCATTTGTTTGTGTCTTCCTTAATTTTTTTCTTCGGTGTTATGTAATTTTCTGAGTACAGTATTTTACTGCTTAGTTAGATTTATTCCTAGGTACTTTATTTTTCTTGTTGCTATATCAAATGGGATTTTTTTCCTGATTTCTGTTTCTGATATTTTGGTGTTGGTGTACAAAAATGCCTTTGATTTCTGAATATCAACTTTGCATCACGCTGTTTTGCCAAATTCATTTAATAAGTTGAGTAGTTTTTTTGGTGGAATCTATACTATCATGTACATATACTGTTCTATGTATACTATATAGTGTACATATATTACTCTATGCACACTATTATGCCATCTGCAATGACAATTTTACTTCCTTCTTTCCAATTTGGATGCCTTTTATTTCTTCTTGTCTAATTGCTGTGGCTAGGACTTCCCATACTATGTTGAATAGAAGTGGTTAAAGCAGACACCCTTGTCTTGTTTCTGATCTTAGTGGAAAGCTTTTAGTTTTTGCCCACTGAGTATGATGTTGGCTGTAGATTTCTTGTATATAGCCTTTATTATGTTGAGGAATGCTCCCTCTACTCTCCATTTGTTGAGTGTTTTTATCATAAATGGGTGCTACACTTTATCAAATGCTTTTTCCACATCTATAGATATGATCATGTGATTTTTGTCTTTCTTTTTGTTTATGTGATGTTTTACATTTATTGATTTGCAAATATTGTACCATCCCTGTATTCCTGGGATGACTCCCACTTGATCATGGTCTATGATCTTTTTAATGTATGATCTTTGTAATGTAAAAAAATGGATCTGGTTGGCCAATATTTTGTTGAGAGTTTTAGCAACTATATTCATCAGCAATTTTGGCCTGTAGTTTTCTTTCTTTGTTGTGTCTTTATCTGGTTTTGGGATTAGGATGAGCTGGTCTCATAAAAACAGTTTGGGAGTCTTACCTCTTCTTGGATTATTTGGAAGAGTTTGAGAAGGATAGGGGTTAGCTCTTCCTTAAAAGTTTTGTAAAATTTTCCTGTGAAACCGTCCAGTCCAGGGCTTTTCTGTGCCAGGAGTTTTTTGATTACTGCTTCAATTTCACTAGCAGTTATTAGTCTGTTCAGGCTTTCTGCTTCTTCTTGATTCAGTTTTGGAAGATTATATATTTGTAGAAATTTGTCCATTTTACCAGGTTCTCAAATTTCTTGGCATATAGTTGTTTGTAGTAATTTCTTACAATCCTTTGTATTTCTCTGTACCTCAGAAATTTTGTATCTCAGTTGTAATTTCTCCTCTTTCATTTCTAATTGTGTTTAGTTGGGTCCTCTCTCTTTTGTCTTGATGAGACTGGTTAAAAGCTTGTTGATTTTGTTTACATTTTCAAAGAACCAGCTCCTGTATTTACTGATCCTTTGAATTGTTCTTTTAGTCTCTATGTCGTTTAATTCTGCTCTGATCTTGGTTATTTCCTTTCTTCTACTCACTCTGGGCTTTGTTTTTGTTCCTCTACTTCTTATAGATGTGGGATTAAGTTGTTTATTTGAAATGTTTCTATCTTTTTTAAGTAGGCCTGTATTGCTATGAACTTCCCTCTCAGAACTGCCTTTGCTGTGTCCCATAGGTTTGGGGCATTGTGTGTTCATTTTCATTCATTTCAAGAAGCATTTTGATTTCTTCCTTGATCTCATTATTAATCCATTCATTGTTTAACAGCATGCTATTCAGCCTCCATGAATTTGAATGATTTTGAGTTTTTTCCTTGAGGTTGGTTTCTAGTTTCAGGCCCTTGTGATCTGAGAAGATGCTTGATATGATTTCAATTTTCTTGAATTTGTTGAGGCTTGTTTTGTGTCCTATTGTCTATCCTATGTCTTTTGATTGGAGTGATTTGATGTGGTCCATCTTTGAAAATGTTCCATGTGCATTTGAAAAGAATGTGTATTTTGCTTCTTTGGGATGAAAGGTATATATATGTGTGTGTGTTATGTAGACAAGTTATATATGTACATATATATGTATATACATTTATATGTAAGTCATATATAATTTACATATATACATATATATACATATATACGTGTGTG